CCCCCCCCTCCCTGGCATCCCCCTTCCCTGCCCAGGTGAACACACCTGCCTGGTACAAACCCTCTGAGCAACTGCCTCATAAAAAAACCCCCATCGTCTCCTCGAAAATAAACCAAAAAACCACCAAAACCAAAACCAACCCCGACCCCTTTTGCCGATGCAAATCCAAAATGTCATTTTCCGGGATGTTCATAATTAGGAAAACGGGGCCGGGGCCGCCGGGGAGACCCCGCGAGGGTGAACATTCCATTCCTCGCCCGCCCCGCTGGCAGGAACGTAAAAAAACCAAAAAAAACCAAAAAAAAAACCCCAAACGCTTGAGCGGAACTTTTCTTTGGCCGTTAAGAACCTTTCCCGCAGCGGGGGGACCGAGAGATCCCATCGGCGCCGGGAGCGCGGATTGAATTACCCGCCAGGGGAGGAGGAGATGGGGGAAAAAAGGGAGCTGCGAGCGCCGCTTCGCTTCTTTAATTTCATTTACTCGCAGCGCCTTCCCAGCGGGGGCTTCCCCTCTGCCCTCCGCTGGAAAAGCGGCTCTGGAAAAGCCGGAGGCGGGATGAGGTCGCTGCTCAGCATCCCGGGGCTGGGATGGGTCCGGCCATCCCAGGGATGGGCTTCCTGCTCTTCCCGCCGTTGCCAAGAGGATTTGGGGAGCAGGGAAGCAGCAGGGGTGGGATGGGAGCCCAGTGAGCTCTCCCAGCCCCGCATTCCCTCTCTCCACCCGTGGTTTTGCTGGAAGCAGGACCCCCGGGAGAGCTGCTGCCTTCCCCAGCTGTTGTGCTCTGCCCTGTTTGAGATGGATTTTCCACAGCCCCTGTTTGGGGTTATTTGTGGCCCTGGATCATGGGAATCGTGGGATCAGGGAATCCCGGGATGCTTTGGGTTGGAAAGGACCTGGAACACCACCGACTTCCAACACCTTCCACCAGCCCAGGTTGCTCCAAGCCCTGTCCAGCCTCAGATCCCGGGATCTGCCGGGCTGGCAACTCCCTGGGGCCTCTGAAGGACCAGTAGGAGCCCAAATCTGTCCCCCTGTGCAGGACACACCGGGCCTCAGTCTCCCAGCAGGAAAACCAGGATGGAAGGAGCCTCCCTTTCCCTTAAATACTCCAGACAAGCTGACACAATTAAGGAGGGGCTGCAGGGGCTGATTTGATTCCAGAGGGCTCTGGAAATTTGAGGTCTGACAGCCTGTGACAGGGAGGTGGCAGCTGGAACCCGTGTCCTGCCTCCCTCCTGCATCCCTGCCCATGCAGAGCCCGGATTAAATCCCTGGGATGTGGGGGATGCAGCACTGGGGGCTCTGCCTGGCTGCACACGGGGTTGGGGTGAGGGGGAGTGTCCCCATCCCTCCCCAGCCTGGCCCTAAAACAACCCAGATGGCTCCTGCCTGCAGCAAAGAGCTCGGTTCATCTGCAGTCACAGTCCTGGGGGGGTTCTACCTCTTTAGGATCCTAAGGGATGCCCAGAGGATGTGGAGAGGGAAGTGGGAGCCCAGGGGAAGGTGGGATCCCAGGGGAAGGTGGGAGCCCAGGGGAAGGTGGGATCCCTCCCCTGCAGCCTCCCAGGCTCCCCAGGGAGCTGCTCATCCCCCAGGATCTCCCTGAGGATGAATTTCCCAAGCCATGACCCACACGGCTCCAGCTGGAGCCTCCCACGGAAGGGCTGCTCTGGGAATTACAG